CTCCCCCACCCAAAAGGTTTCTTGAGATGGGTTTAAGGAGAGAATGTCTTTTCATTAATATCAGTTCCCAGGCATTACTGAATACACAGATTAAGCAACTACTAGTCCCTTGGAGAATCTCCTGAGAAGGATAATTATTTTAATAGTTATTTTAAATATATAGAAATTTTATAGAAATTTTTTAAAAAATAACATAGTCCTCCCAAAAACAAAAGAAATCTGACCTGGCAAAAGAGACGCAAAAACTGAAACTGTTCAGCCCATAGAAAAGTTTCCTAAAGGCAGGAAGATCAGTACTTATACCCACCAGTTTGGATGATTAAGAGGGAAGCTGTCAGACTATTTTCTGCATTAAGTCAATAAAGACAGGCCAAGAAGCAATGAACAGCAGAAGACAGGAAACACACTGTCTTGTGGAGCACCTGACTCACTTTTCCCCTTCTCACAACATCATGATAGCTGTAGCACCTGCAAAATTTTAGGAAAGCATGGCTATATTCCACCTATATTCCATTTCTAAGAAATGATGAGTGGAAATCAGGTTTGTAAGTTTCTTGGGATGACATATTTTATGGGTAGTTTTCACACTTTTATCTTCAGTGCTTTTAGTGGATTACCCTAAAAAGTTATTATTGCTGATTTTACTGTTTTCTCAAAACTCAAAATTCCACAGGTGTTATGTTCAGGGATTTCTGTTTCCACTAAGGTAGATACTTTTATTCTGCCACCCTCTCCCACCTCAGTGAATTGTATTATTTGCATATTAGTTGTGCATATGAAATTTGCTTACTTGAAGCCAGGGAAAACATATTTTTCTAAGTTTCACAGCAAGAATTTACACATTCACCTCTGTTCCTTCTGTTCACCTACATTTGATGTATTTGCTCAGGGAACAGATACAGCATAGCAGCGTATATTGCAAATGCCAGGCTGTAATGAACAGAAAATAATCAAGTATGTAGAAGAAGTAGAAAAGACATTTTGGAAGAGGTTTGGTCTAAACCTCTTTTCATTTACAGCAATGAAATTCCTATCAACTTATTGGTGGATCCATATAGCCACTGATCAAGTTAACACAAACACATTTGGGAGAAAAAACATTTTTAGAGGTAACTGGCAAGTGAAGAATAGGCAATACCACTAAGTTATACGGTGTGAGCAATCATTAATTGCTCCATTTTAAAATAAACTCTTGATTTCTCATTTTATGTACTTAATATTTCTCATCTGTGATTCCTATCACTGAGTACTCTTTTCTCTTTTCACAAACAAGAATTTTCTTTGTTTTATCTAGGCACTCTGAGGTCTCATATTTATTACCCTGAACCAGACCTGGATGTTCCTGAGAAGAAAATCATTTAAACATGTATATGGAACACAAAAAGTATAGTAGAATTACCTTGATCAACATTCAGTATGAATTCAAGTACTCTGTCAGATCAGACCTTTTCTGAATTTATACATTATTCAAACAGTTTTAAGGGTATCTTTCGAGTTACCTAGCTGGGCTAGTTTGCCATGAAGAGTTTTAGAAGTTTACTTACAAGACAAGAAAGACAGTAGAAGACCCAGCTCACAGGAGCTGTGGACATCTATGCTTGACCTCACTGAAAATTCAGGGAGAGCAGATGTGACAACAGGAGTATTAAGACATGTTGGAAAACAACATGAAAACATGTCGTCCCATTATCTAAGTTGGCCATGCTAGAGTGAGGTTAAGAGATGGAAACCGATGATTATGGTCTAATTTCGTCAAAAGAGCAGGAGTTACCAAACTGTGTTCAAGCATGGGCTTTTATGAGTATACCTATAAAATGGTCTGCAAAACAGAACACACATTCTATGTTTATTCTCAACCAACCACAAAAAAACCCCCAAACCAAAACAGAAACAAACCAGGGACCAAAAATCAGATTCAGTGGAACTGATGATATCACACAACACTCTCACCTGATTCTTATCTTCATTTATGCATGCATTGGACAGTGGGCTACAGAGCAAGCAATGGCAGTTTTCAGCTGTGACTCAGGAGAGTAGGAGCTATCTTGACCCGGTTACTTTTCTGCCTTGTGTATCAGTTTCACTTCCAAAAACTGAGGTCAGGCAGTAGCACTTGCTTGGAAGATTGGGAAGGAAAGGTAGAGAAGACAACAAACAACAACACAACTAAATAAATTCATGAGATTTGTTCCTTTCAGATACATTATGGAAGGTGTGATTGTGTTCACAGACAGGGAACTGAACCTGCTGCTCCTGCAAGTCCCTATTTGATCCCAGGCTTCTATCTACCTGTAAAGATTATAAAGGAAACCTTTTCATCTCTTAAGGTCATTGCTTGCAAAATTTATTTGGCAGCAAAGTTACATCTTTTAGCTGGCAATTAGACATCCATGGCTAAACTAAAGAGCAAAGGTTGCCTGGTTTAATCCCTACCCTCCAGCTTTGCAACATGGGATGAATAAATGACGTAAGAACTGCACAAGCTTATGTTTATTTATAATACTACATACCCAGCAACTCTAACCTGGAGCACTCCAGAGTGGAAGGATACATTTTTATAATGCCTGTTTCTTCATAAAGATTTCATCATCCACCTACGCTAAAAAGCTACTTCCCCTTCACTTTGTTATATCTGCTTTTACCCACTCCTGTTCTTGCATTATTTTTTTAATCTCCCATTCCTACTTTACATGCACTCTCAAATTTTAAACAAGCAAAATTTGTGCATTAGTGTGTCCTTTTCATCTATCATTTATGAATGACAGGTTCTTTGGTGCAGCTTAATGGTATGAGAGAGACATTATTTTAAACATTAAAGTGAAAACCATTTACAACTATGATAAGAGAGGTCTGTTGACATTAAACTTTAAAACATGGACAAGGTAAAGGCAAGTAGTTGCTCCCAACAGGTAAGAGTACTATGCATGTGCTTTGTAAGGGAGTTTGTTCAACACAAGAGCTGTCTCTTTGTTTTCTCCGTTTGACAACCTGTAGAATCTGGTGCTTCAAATAATACATCTGGTAATCATCAGCCACCAGAGTTTAATGGCTAAAAGATACTTAGGGCACAGTGCAGAGGATTAATTTTTTTAAATTACCATTTTATTGGAGAAAAATATTTTGTACTATTTACACTGGAAAGAAATAAGAATAACTAACTAACTAACTAAATAAATAAATAAATAAAGCTAACAAGTTAAAGCTTTATTTTTACACTTCCTGCTCACACCTTTATCACTTTCACACTGGACTATCCCTTTTCTGTCCTTGTCTATTAAAACTATACAATTCTGTTGTAAAATATTGGCTAACACTTATCTTGCTATATTTTGTTCCTTTCTATTCAGCAGCAACTGCATTCTGAGAAGTATCAACATAGTTAGGAACAGTAAATAAATACATTTGTATTTTATTTCATATGTACTTGGACTGAGTACTGTTCCTAACAGTGTTAGACATACTGATTGAACAGAGGAAAAAAGGGATCTTACAGAACTACTTTCAGTCTGATTTTAGACCACAGGGAAAAAGTAGCAGGTCCCTCAGGGTAGAACCATTGCAAGCATGGTACAGCTCAGACAATAGAGAGGATACATAGAGATTAATTTTTTCCTAGTTACTTTGGAGTCATGCAACTCTCTCAACAATGTGAAAGAAGATGGCAGAACCTTATTGATAAAGCAGACCTCCCACAGCAAGAATGAAAACATATAGCTGGGGCATGGATGACAGATGAAAAAACTCAGATTTTATTGTAAATTTTGTAAAAAGTTATTTTCATGCAATACTGTATTTTTAGTTGCTTCTATTCATACAGGTGCTTTAATCAGCAGTGGTGAAACAAGTTGTGTGTGGCAGTCAACTTGCTGGGAGGGAAGGAATAATGGCATCCGGAGGGACCTTGACAGGCTTGAGATGTGGGCTGAGGCAAACCTTATGAAGTTCAACAAAGCAAAGTGCAAGGTCCTACACCAGGGTCACTGCAATCCCAGACACATCAATGGATTGGGCACAGAAATTATTGAGAGCAGCCCTGGTAAGAAAGACCTGGGGGTGACAGGTGATGAAAAACTTAACATGAGCCAGCTGTGTGTGCTCATAGCTCAGAAAGACAATCAAGTCCTGGGCTGCATCACAAGGAGCCTGGCCAGCAGGTCAAAGGAGCTGATTCTGCCCTTCTGCTCACATGTGATCCCACCTGGAGTATGCACATTTGTGGTGTCCCCAGCATAAGAAGCTGTTGGAGCAAGTCCAGGGGAGGACCATGAAATTTTTAAGAGGACTGGAGCACCTTCCCTATGAACACAGGCTGAGAAAGTAGGGGCTGTTCAGCCAGGAGAAGATCACATGGAGACCTTGTGGCAAACTTCCAGTGTCTGAAGGGGTTCTACAAGTAAGCTGGAGAGGGACTCCTCATCAGGAACTGTAGTGATAGGACAAGGAATAATAGGTACAAATTGAAAGAGAGAAGATTTATATTAGATATTAGGAAGAAATGTTTGGGGGTGGGTGATAAGACAGTGGAACAGGTTTCCCAGGGAGGTTGGGGATGTCCCAACCTTGACAGATTGGGTAAGACATTGAGCAACCTGGTCTAGGGTGAGGTGTCTCTGCCCATGGCAGGTGGGGTTGGGACAAGATGATTTAGAAGTCCATTCCACACCCTTGATATTCGATGATTCTGTTATTCTATAGTTTGAAATCTCCAAATGATCTGTGAGTAGAGAACATTGATCACTGATGACAAAGAAACCAAATGAGTCATTCAAGCAGTTCGTATTACTGACCCACAGAATGCAAGACCCAACCTCCAATATGTTTCTATAAAAAAGCAAATAGCCCTTAAGTATCTCTCAAGCATTCAAAAACAATCCAGGTATTACTTTGCAATATTCATGGAGAGCAACATTTAATTTGAAAAAGAGATCACTCAGTTTAAAGAAACAGATGGCATAAAACATGTGAAAGAACCTGTTAGAAAAATTATGAAAATTACTTACCTTGTAGATTTTGCAATGGCAAAGTCATGATGCCTCCTGCTGCAGCTGCTGCTACCAGTCCTTGGATGTTGGTGAGATTTGCTGTAGGTAGAGTTAGGACGAGTCCTTGTTGGCCCCCCAGCTGCCCAGCCATGTTGAAAGGAATAAGGATTGGCTGATTCAGGGCTGGAGTGCCTCCTGGCATCACCCCTGCTACTGCTGAGGCTAACTGTTGGGCTGTCAGTAGTGGCTGTAAGAAACCACAGAGATACAAACCTATTTTAGTGTGTATAGTTCAGTATTACACACTTTCAACCTTCTGGCTTGAGATCTTTTCATGTTCCATTACAGACATGCACTGCTTCCAGTATCTTAAAGCATATATTTTCACCAACACAGAAAAGTTTGACAAATATGACAGTCTGAAACTGTAAGCCTCAGTCAAACAGCATAGTAGCAATCCCAGCTGAATCTAGACTGGAAAATTCATTACACATACATGAAAGATAATTCATGAGTGAAAGAAGACATAACTCAACTTAGTCTACAAGTACATAAATGCCAACATTTCCCAAAAATCCCTGGTTGTATACTGATTGATAATAGTAGAAAACACTACTGACAGCTACCAGAAGCTTTGTGGACAAAGACTGTCCTGGGAAGTGGAAGAATATTGAGTATCTTCTTAGAGTATAGCTGAACTTGGACAAAATTGTGACGTGAGACGGGAAATATTTTAAAATCTTATAAAGTGCAATATTACTATGTCTACACTTTGCTCTTAAGAAAATAAATATCTGGCATAAAAGATAATGAAATACCTTTATTAATACAGGAGTCTGTATGACAGACATAACTGTCAGAGACAATAATTCTGCATTAAAATTGCACAAGATTTTTAATATTAAATTATTATATTTATTTCAGAAGTAATTGACACAAGAAATTAAAATATTTTTACTTCCTAAATATGTAAAACTTCTTAGGTTTTATTTTAGAAAGGCATACAAAATCTAATCCTGCCAAACTTGACTTTTAAAATATACAGGATACATGTGTTCCCTTTTTGTACCACTGAATACAGCCAAAAAGATTCACATTTTCTGCATTACACACATCAAAGATGATCAATCACAGTTATTTATTGTTCATCAAATTGCACATCTTGATTAGTTAAAAAGAAAGATACTGACCTGAGGCCCAACAGGGAATGTAGGATGGGACTGACTGGGTTGGTGCTGGTCTGCTGGGCTTGTATCAGGCAGCACTGTGTTTCCTCTGGCCTCTGAAATCCAGAGAATAGATTGACTTTAATATCAAGCCTGGGGACTGCCACATTACCTTCTACTCTGATGTCACATAACATGAAGCTGAAAATTATATGTTAAAGTGCTTTATCAATAACTCAAGCACTCAAATCGCTTATCAGCTGCATAAATTATGCTAACGTTCATTCAGACCAGCCAGCTCATTCAAAGAGTTACAGAAATGTGACAGCAGTGAAACTGAAGCTATCATCAACCCAGCTAATGTGGGTTGCATTATACATCAATTTACATACAGCACATGAGCACTCTGTGTGTGTAGGAACTGCATTTTTTATGCTTAGGTGAGCATCAGCCATTGCAATTTCTGAAAGCAAAAATTATCTGAAAAACAATCAAGTCACATCTACTTTCTATCTTAATAAAGTATTTTCTTTTGTCAGCTACTGAGGCAGCAAGGCCTCTACCACACACAATAAAAAGGTACTATGAAAACTGGTATGCTTCCATATGACAGCTTATTTTTTAAATTGCATGTGGAGGATTAGCAAAATTCTGCAAAACCAAGGATTTCCAGCATTTACTGAAATGATCCATTTCCAGCAATCAAATTATACCATGGGAACTTGCTAAGCATAGAACATGGTCCAGCCCTGCTAAATTTTGCTGAAATCTGCAATACAGATTTGAAAGGGAGGAACAAAAAACAAAAACATCCTGTCAGTTGTAAGAAAGTACCAAGATGTTTTCAAAACTACATCCCAATCCTCCATTTCCTCTGGGTGAAAGGCTCAACTGATTTCCAACTTTTTAGTGATGATGATCAGGCCCATATTAATTTTTGTGGTTGTAAGAATGACAGCAAGTATCAAATGTAGCTGTAAGAGTACTGTGGTCTCTTATAAAGAAAACCCTGGCAATGTCATCAGGTTTCCTGATTGGTACGATATCTTCTGGTTTGTTTTTTTTTCCTGATGAGTGGTTAAAATTCCATTCTGAGTAAACCTTAACAAGATGCTCTTTTCTAATGTTTGTCCTATGAATAGCAAGATAATTCAGAAACAGTTTCTTGGCACACCCTTGTGCTGTAAGGAAAAAGGATACAATTCCGTCATAAATTTTAAAGAGGGTATTATCAGCTCATTTAAAACAAATTCTTTTATATATTCTCTAAGGGGAACAACTTATAAATAATGGAAATGTGGAAAAAAAAACCACCTTCACCATATTAAGGTTCAAATAAAATTGACTGCTACATATTATTCAATTGACTTCCATCTCTACAGCAAACTGTCAATCATAACAGCATTTTAGAATTGGATTAAACAATAAATGTGCAGACTTATTATGCAGAAATCTGAAAATCTGATTAATTTGTAATATCTTTGTGTGGTCTCAAAAATTCAGAAATGGACATTGCTCTGGGAATACTTACAAATTGTCTTTTGGAATATCTGATTTGGAACTAATAAAAACATACAAACCTGCTGACATTTTATAAAGGGAATTCTACAGAAATATGTTTGCCATTTTAATGACCATTGTCATTTAATAATGAGTATAAGCTGACCTACTATAATCAGTGAGGATTCCAACAACTGCTTAGTAACATGCAAAAAGAGACACAGTCACTAATTTTTTTATCTGCAATTTACTCATTCAAGTTAAATGAAAAGAGAAAAACATAACTAGATATGCTCAATTCAGTGAAAACTGTTTCTTTCAAATGCATAACAATTCTCGTGCTGATGCCACCCCTAAGACAAAAAACAGGGTTTCCCCAGTATGATTTCCTCCTATACAAAAGAAAGTGCTATGTTACTAAACATAATTTTTCCTTTGGTAATTTCCACATACTGTTATGGCCTTTTTTTTTTTAATCTTCACAGCTCTATGTATAAAGTGACATTAGATCCAAGGCTCAATACCAATGAAGATATCACTCCCCATTAAGACCAAATCTTATAAGTAAATTTTGTTTATGTAATTTTAAGGATTGTGAGTTTTGCCTATGTGTGTGATTTAATTAATATTAAAACAAACTCTTGATAATGTGTCATATCATTAAATCATCCAATGAAATCTTTGGGAAAAGAGCAAAACCAAAGTCATTAGAATTAGATTTTATTGCAATTTTTATACCTTGAGCTCTCAGAAAATATATAAGAAGTTCTGAAGTAATATGCCTGTGTTTTAGTATTCTTTTTTCCATGGTGCCCATCCAAAGAACCACTGATTTATATTATCTGTACCGTAAGGATTTTTCAATATTTTATCACACAATCTATGTACCAGAAGTTGGTTATATTGGACCATCAAGCCAAAATTAATGACGTTGCTTTCCTTTTTCATTGTACTAATTGAAATCACATAGGATTACATTCCTGTCATACAGTTACTCACCATATATGTTTGTTTTGGGTTTTTTTATTTCAGGGCTCAAATGCTTTGCCTGCTGCTCCTAATTTGGTTCCCATAGGATGCAGTCATCTCAGGAAAACAGAACACACTTCCATGTGGTCTTATATGGCATCCTATATGAAATTATCAATCCTGTATTCTCTGACTGAAATTCTCAGATCTTACCTGCCCCTTCTAATCTACCTGCTATAACAGACACTTAAGAGTCAAGAAAATGTAGAAGAAAACCTGCCTGCTGGGCTGGCACTAAATACAGTGAAGCAAGAATTTCAGGGTGATGTCTGTTGCATCACAGAGTGACAGCATTTTTTCCGTGCTGTATGCTGCATTCACTGACACACATAGGTCAACATTCTGAAGAAGGCAAGGCAGAGCACAAAACATCACTAAAAGGCTACTTTTTCTTTTCTGCTTTATATTTCTGACTAGGGGGATTCCCCTGATTTCAGAGAAGTCAGGGAGCTCTATTTCTGATTTCTCTACTATTTCTGCTTCAGAAATTCATTGCTATGAATTTGGAAAATGCCTTCATTAAGACCAACTGCCCTAAACTGGCAGCACACAATCCCCTACACTGTATCTCGCCACTGTTTTACGGAGTTTATTTGGGAGTTGGTTAATTCCAGATGCTGGAACCACCTCTGGCAGGTAAATTATTCCTGTGTCCAAATTCCAGTCCTCACTGATAAAAATGGATTGTCAAAATCTAGCCTAGATTTTCCACTTGTCTGATCCAGGCCTACTGTTACTTCCTGTTAGGTTATTCTCCAACTCCACTCAGCCTTGTGTCAGTGAGGGGTCTGTCGGCAAGGAACCAGGACTTATAACAACCCCTATAGAGCTGGGGAACTACCAGCAGTACCATCTCTGCTTCTAGCTACATTTTACAGAAATCCTACTCTCATTACAACCCCGAATCCTGGTGCACAAGGGGCAGGGGAAGGCAGTAGCGGGGCTGCTACTCTGAAAAGAGAGCCAATTCTCCTTAACATTGTTTGCCTAGGCAGGGCTCTTATAACAACTGAGTCCTGACAACACAGCCTAAGTCAATGAGTTTGCTCAATAGTACCATATGAACAGAGAGGAATGCCATTGCCATAGTACTGCCATGACTGTAGACAAGGCTTTAATATTTAATAAGGAGTATTCATCATATGTGATTCATCATAAATTAATTATAAATTATATAATACATACCTCTCATCTCACCAAGGGACTGGAAGGGCATGACACAATAAAAATAAACGGAAGTGTATTGTAAACACTCTAAAATATCCTTCTTAAAATAAAACATTATTTAAAATATAGCTAAGTAAAACAAAGGCAACCTTCTTCTCCCCTTATCAAAATGAGAAAAAATTCCACAAACAAAGTGAAAAGCCATGTTGCACAATATCTGGTTTAGAAAAGAGAAAACAACAAGAGAAACATCAGAAGAAAAAAAAATCCACATCTCAAGGCCACCAAGCTTCATACAAAATTACAGCTGTAAATATACTGGCTATAAAAGGCTTTCCATAGTTTGCTTCCATCTTGTTTCTTACACATTTTCAGCAACACAACAGGTAACTCATTTCTTAGTGTCTCCCAGTGCCCTGTGAAGGCAAAAATGCTCCAATGCCCCACTTTACAACTAATGGGGAAAAGAGACTCCAATAGGGATTCTCAAATAAGCACAATTTAGCAGATCTCTTCAGCTCTAGATCCACTGTTCAGGAAGGCATGGGTCAAAACACAAAAGTGCCCTGCAACTCCTTGGCTGCTCCAGGGGTATAGCACCTCTGACAAGGTGAACCTGCACATGCTCCCCAGCATCCTCACTTGGATGCAATGCTGTCCCAGCTGCCCTTGTCTCACCTGGTTTCTGATGTTTGCAAGGAACATGCAGCTGACAGAAAAATGGTACGGAACAGCATCACAGCATGGAGTGCTTTGAACTTGTACGTCCAGCTCTACCCTGGCTCTTCTGCACATATGTGCTTTGTGCCTGCTCAAAGGCATGATGCACCCTGGCATCTCTTCTCAAACTCTGCACCAAAGCTCACCCAAACCAATGCTCACACCAAAGCATAGGACTAATCTCAGCAGATGACCTGGATATGAGCAACTACCTCATGGTCTTCCTGAATGAATTCAATATGTCTCACATTTGTATCAAAACCAGGGATATGCTGGACCACCTCTCCTTAGCACTCAATGCTTTGAAAAATGAGCTGGATCAAATTCAATAATACTAGATTTTCAGTGATCAAAAGAATATATAAATCCTTCTGAGATATAAGAAAATATTTCAAATGCAAAGCAACAATTGATATTAAATCTTTAGGTATTTCCACCATGTGACATTAAATTACTTGTATTTATCTCACAGCAACCATAACAATAAGAAATCAAAAGGAGACTTTTTTCATACTCACTGAGACAACCCACATTAAAGATACAGCTTTGAGAATTAAATCATTAAAGTAAAAATACTGCCTGTGAGAAAAAAGTCTTACATTTTTAAAACTAAAAAAATAATAAACTAAACAATCTGAGCAAAACATTGCTGCATTTAGATCATAATCAAGAGGAAAAAAAACTTTTAAAGGAAAGTAAA